TAGCCCTTCTTGCTACATCCACTGCTGATGGAAGAACCCAGCTTCTCTGTGCTTCCAACATAGGTGGACTGAAGACCAGCAGCTCTCCAGAAGTACTCTCGGCCTTTAGCACCAGGTTAGGATTGCTGAGGCACTCAGGCTCATGGACTGAGCAGCTACCAAGTTCTCAGTCTCTCAAGTGTGAAGACAGCCATTGTTGGACTATGTAGATCATATTGTATAAACCAATCTAGTAACTTCCTTTTACACACACACACACACACACACACACACCTAATGTACCTTTTCTATTTTCACCTTCCTTATGGGAATATTTGACAGACAAAAGTTTGAATACATTTTTGCATTTTCTCTTTTAAAAAATTCTCACATCAAGGGCTGGGGATACGGCTCAGCTGGTAAAGTGCTTGCTGCACAAGTTTGAGACCTGAGTTAGGATCCCCAGTGTCAGTGTAAAATGCTGGGCCTATGGCACAAGCTAGGGATGCAGAGACAGGATCTCTGGGGTTTGCTGGCCAGCCAGCTAGTCAGTGAGTTACAGGGTCAATGAGAGACTGTTCGAAAAAATAAGATGGACAGCAGTTGAGGAAGGCACCTGACTTTGACCTCTGGCCTCCACGTGCATGCTAGTATAGCTGCACATAGGACATATGAACACATACACTCAAAAAAATTTACCACATCAAAAGTCATAAAAATTCTGTTGTCTTTAAAATTCCCCTTTGCCATTTAATTCTTCAATCAAACTGGTTTTGATTTTTTTATGTTCTATTTCCTTTTTTCCTCATATATAACTGTTTAAAACTTTACTTGAAAACAACTAAACAGCATCCTTTGCCCATTGATCCAAGGTGCTGGTTGGTTCATAAATCAACTCCCCGTATATATGTGTGTCTGTGTCTGGGCTGTCTGTTGGGTCAAGCCCATCCCCGCTGGTGTCTCTTTCTATCACATCCCCCATCTCCTCTTCACTTAGATGGGGCTATCTGAACAAGCTGGACAGGGAATCTAGGCAGAGGTTGTGGGTATGAATTCCACACTTGGCCCCTAGTTTTTCTCATAAAGTCCTCCATCAGCTCTCTTCTACGGTTGTGGCAGATGCAGAGGAAGTTGTGGAGCACTCTGAGTCTATAATCAGTGACAGAGTCTAAGCAGGAGTCCAGGGCTCTTTATGGCTGGGTGGTCTCCTCCCTCTGCGTGTGCTACATTTGCAGTCTTTGCTGCTAACCTGCGCTGAGTTTTTAAAAAGACTGAGTCTCCTCTGCCTCCTGAGTGCTGGGATTAATGGCCTGCACCACTACATCTGGCTAACACTGAATTTTAATATTATTGTTATCATCATTTGTTTAAATACATGTCATTGAGAATTGTATGTAATAGACTTTATGCACACATGCATGCACACACGCATCCACAGGTTTAATTGCAGAATCAATGACTGAAGTCAATTTTCCAATTTGAAGTCAGCTTCATGAGGATATAGACTGTGGCAGAAGAAATTGGTCCCATTATACTCCCTATTTAATATGTATTTTCCATTTAGAGAGGGAACAGAGCACATCTGTATTAGAAACTATGTGAAAATGTCACCTTGGGCAGTTGCACAGGCTGGGTACAGTGTTTCTGGGATTGAAATGCATGTCCTTTTAACATCTAGTCAGCTTAAAAAATAAAAGAAAATCATTTTATCTTTGTTTATTTTATTGGTACATACATGTGTGGGTGTGTGCATGTCATTGCACTTGTACGGTCTAAAGAAAATTTGCAGAAGCAGTTCTCCTTCTGCCATGTGGGTTCCAGGGACTGAACTCAGGTCATCAGGCTAGGTGGCAAGCAGCTTTACCCACCAAGCCTCTCACCGGCCTATGGAAAGCTTTTTCATCTGAGCAGGGCCCTTCTCAAGTGAATACTGAATATTCTCAATGTTTCTTCATTTTTCCTGTTCGATCAGAAACAGTATTAAGCATTCAATTTTGTAGTCTAGCATGTACCTGTGTACTAGGGTATGTTTAGCATTCTCAAAGCCCTGGTTTCAATCCTAAGTACAAACGATTAAAGAATACAATTTTCAAATTTAAAGGCAAATGTTCCTGACTCTGTTCACACAGTCTTTAGTGATATGGATAATATTGTTGGGTTACCTTTCGCATGTTGAGTACAATGTGGTGGTTAAAACAAGGAGCACAGCTTGCATACTTGACTAAGTTTATACCTGGCTCTGCTGAGGAACTCCGTGACCTTCGGAAAATCACTTGAAATTTTCTGTGCCTGATCATGTATAAGATGTGATGATAAGAGTTCCATTTCTGCCGGGCGTAGTGGCTCACACCTTTAATCCCAGCAGAGGCAGGTGGATCTCTGTGAGTTCAAGGCCAGCCTGGTCTACATAGTGAATTCCAGGACAGCTGGGGCTACAGGGAGACCCTGTCTCAAAAAGACCAAAAAAAAAAAAAAAAAAAAGAATTCCATTTCAGGTTTTTGACAAGAACGAAGTCATTTTTATATGCTGCCCAGGACAGTACCTAGTTCTTAGTAGGTCTTGTTGTATATAGGTTGTCTATTATGAGAAATCTGAGACAATGAGCATATATCTGAAGAAACAGAAAAGGTATGTGAAGAAAATTAAAAATTTAAATTGAAGAATAGCAGGGGAATTAGGAAGATAGATATTTAAATACAACATATTCATAAAATGAATATGAACAATGATCATATAGTTTGACATGTATGTGTCTGGTCATCTAAAAAGTGAAACAAAACTCTTTTTGTTATCATCAAAACAGTTTGATGATAAGAGTTTGATACAAGAGTTTGTATCAAAAGTAATACAAAACTCTTCACATAATGAGTTTTGAGATTTGTTTTTAGGAAGGTCACTGCCAACAGAGCTCAAATCATTAATGTCTTCCTGTTAAAAGTATCATGAAAAAATTGGGAATTTATGCAGCAAATCACTCTTTACTGATGCATGAAAACATGTAATAATTACAACTGGGATATTGCAATTGGGGGTGCAAACTGGCTTCATCAAAAAGGGCAGTTTGTTGTCTTCCTCTAAATATTGCCAAAAATATTTTAGTGTGATCATGGCACAAATGCAGAAATAACAAAGAAAGCAAGAGAAGTAAAAATGTACAATGCTTTATTGTCAAAAATAGACAAACTTTAATTTCCTTTAACAGGAATATCATTGTAAGAGGCTCCATAAGCCATCACCATTTTGTAAGGGAAATAGGCAAGAGAGCCAATGACAACTGTTAGTGTCTATATCCATGCTTGAGAGACCTCACCGTCCTCCAAATGATGACTCAAAACAGCTGCAGAAACAGTGACCTTTAGTCCCAACCCACAGCAGGCATGCAGAACAGCATTCATCTGCCTATTGGTCCAGTCCTGGAAAGACTGGCTTTGTGGTACCTCTCTAAGCATCTGAAGAGTGGATTTGTTAGAACACCTGCTCATCTGAACTGGGCTACTTTAGGTCAACTCTGGGAACAGGTTTGTTCTGTAACATCAGGATGAAGACATTTGTCCCTCCCATGCTGGTGCCTAAGGCACATGAACTGGTGCTAAAGGTTTGGGCAGGAGAACTGAATGGGTTCCTCTCCATGACCCACCGCAAGGATGGGAAGATATTGGTGAGAAGAACAAGGTGTCATGGAGGGGAAATGATCTCATTGCCATAAAAACAAACCCATTTAGTAACCTGGAATAACTGAAAAAAACAAGACATTCCTTATTCCCCAGGAGCAGAGGAAGAAAGTGGGTATGTGCACTGGATATCTAGAATAAGATTTTCTTTTTTATATTTTATTTGTATTTTATGTGTATAATTGTAATGCCTGCATGTATGTAGGTGCACTTGTGTCATGCAGTGCCTTCAGAGGTCAGAAGAGGGTGTTGGAGCCCCTGGAACTGGAGTCATGGATAATTGTTAGCTGCCATGTTGGGGCTGGGACTTGAACCCGAGTCCTCTGCAAGAGCAGTCAGTGCTCTTAACCACTGAGCCATCTCTCCAGCTCCAAGATTTTCATTATTTAGTTTGCAGCAGCAACCTATTCTCAAGCTAAAGCAGGATTCACAAATGCAAACATGCTGACAATTACAAAGAACAGTGAAGGTTAGGAAAAGGAGGCCGATTTCCAGAAAAGACTAGCGATGATGCTATGCTGATTTGGTGAGACGCTTCATGTGAGCTGAAGCATCTGTGGAAAGCAGCAATGTTACAAAGTGGATCTTATGGGACAGGCAGGACCCAGGAACCCCTTTCCCATCTTTACAGGTGGGTACTGTTTGCTCAGTGTCATCAACTACACGCCAAAGACCAGCTTATGTCTTATTTTTCTAGTTTAAAGGCAACATTAAAAAATGACAATATTCAGCACTTGAGAAGGAGGGAAACTGAGCTTATATTATACTATAAAGATATTCAGAGTAATCTGAGATCACTGAAATGCAGTTCAAGTTTTCTGTCTCTTTAACACAGGTGTGGGGAGGACACCAAACGGGGGCAATTCTGCTACCACTGTGATGTTTCTTATTCGCTCTTATGCAAGGTGAAGTTTTAGTTAAACTCATCCATTTAATTCTATGCCCCTGTCTAAGAACTCTTCAAATTCAAGAAGGAGACTGGTACTGGGACTTCTATGCATTTTGATGAGATGCACATCATCTGGTAAAATCCTGCTATTAAAAAGATCACTTTGAGAACTTAGAGGGGGAAAATAATCTAGGCATGTGAAAGTCAAACTAGGCAAACTGGGTCTCTATGTTCTCTAAGACTACCTGCTAACTGTTGGATCAAATATACAACTGAAGTGGATTGCTTCTTTTTCTTTCTTTTTCCATTCCATTCCATTAAAAATATGAGATTGGGATATGTCTTAAAAGCTACAAAATCAGCCCTTTAGGTGGGTTGCTATGAATGAGAAACACAGAAAAAAGATGGCCTAAACTGGGAGTTCTTGGTGAGGGCAGGCAGGCAAACTACAAACAACTGACTGAGTAGCTTCAGAGCTTTATTGTCCACTCACAAAAGAACAATAGCTGTTTTTTCCCCTTAGCACTCTTCAATGACTGTGGTTCCAATCAGAGAGTAAAGCTTTTTCTTAACAAGTCGGAACCCTGAACTGAGGATGAGAGTCCGCCTAAGGCCAGATGAGAATCGTCCTCTGCTAAAGAGGTCCCTCAGGCTTGTCCATGAGCAGGTTTCCTGCTTAAACACAAGTGTCAGCTCAAAAGTAGGTATCACGCTAGCATCACACACAATCCTATCCAGCTTTTTACATACATTTTCAATTTCCAAGTTCACGTGCATAACACAACCTCGAAGGCCGCAGGGCTCTGTGGAGGAAAGTCGCAGGACATCTTGAGCAATTCTCTGGGTCAGTTTCTCAGGAACAAGGACCTTGGAGCAGCCAAGTTTGGTTTGCTTGGATTTGGACAGACAGTTCTCCAGCATTTTAACCAAATTCTGGCATGTTGTCTCCTCAAATACCATCTCATTGAGGTTGGGCTCTGGAACAACATAGTCCCAGTAGTCAAAATCTGTAAGAAATTAAAGTTTTAGATAAAAAGAGAGCAATGTCTCACCAACGCAGCAATACTGGATACTTCTAGCTACCCAATCTACCTATTTTTGATATTGCTTTGAGAGTCAGCTCACCTCACTTTAGTGCTAAGTGGCTAGGTTATACTGCAAGCTATTTAACCTTTCAAGATTGAAAATTCATTTGTGCAATAAAGATTTAGATAAGAAAGATAAAACCACTTTTATTTAAACATACATCTACAAACGGTTTTGGAGATTATACATCAAAAATCTGTTTGTGGTAATCCAAGATTACTAGTGATTTCTTTTCTTGCTTGCTTTCCCTATAAGGTTTTCTAATTTTATTTTATATTTTTACAGAGAACATGTATTGTATCTGGAATAAAACATTGCTTTTTTTTTTAAACTAAGGGACTATTGGCATACATGTATTATAAACACAGAATGTTTGCAAGGGTTCTGTAACATCTATCTATCAAAGAGTTATCAAAATTTTACTTTTCTTTAAAAGTCTTTACCAAGGTGGCCAATAGATTCAATTTTAGCTTGGACCTCTTTGATTAAAGATTGCTCATGGGAAGAGAAGACCTTTGAGGTTCATGAAGTTATTTATACCTGGTGGGTAGTTTTTCTTAGCTGGGCAAAACAAAACAGACCTAAGAAAACAAAATTAGATTTGCTCAAAGGAAAAAAATTCTAGCTCTGCATTTAGTCACCTAGTTCCCAAATTAATCCTACTGCTTGGCAGGGTGCCTCACCACGGTGGCCCGGGCAGGGTACAGATGCCCTGCTCTCCCTGGAGGCCTGCTTCACATCAGTGGGCTTCATGTATCCATTTAGGCCACTGTTGTTTTTTTCCCAACAATTACATGTATTTTATCTATGTTGAAGATTGAGAATTTTAGACTTTTGTCCTATAAAATAAGTTTAACTTTACCTCGTAATTGAGGAAGGTCTAGAAAGGTTAAGTAATTTAATCTATGCATACACTGCCCTTTGATACTTCCATGTTAAGTTAGAAACGGTGGTTTAAAGTTGCAGGGGATAGAACCACCGCTGTGGACGGTTCCCTGTGACATCAAGAATGGAATAGTGGAGTGCCTGCACAGAAGAATCTTCCTCAGAAATGAAACAGGAACACACGATGTGGGAAGGATCTATTTCCAAAATACTAAACTGTGGGAAAGCAACCAGTTTCAGAAAAATACATATTGCATTATTGTATGACTAAAGGCAAAACTAACAGTGACAAAAACCAGAAGGCTGGTTCCCTGGGGATTGGGAAGAGTGCGAATTGATGGCAAACGGGCACCTAAGAATTTGGGAGGAAAACGGAATGATGTTGGTTACACAAGTAAATGCATTTCTTAAAGCACACAGCTGTATACTAATTTCTCCACCACATAGGACAGAAACTTAATCCCCAAGAGCCTGTTAGCAGCAGACTAGAACGAGGCAGTATTTTTGTTCCTTTTGTTTCTCAGGAGCAGGCAATGTTAGAAAGTTTAGAAAGAGACTTTTCAGATGGATTTCATAGTGCCCTCTATATGGAGGAAGCGAGGTGAAGTCGCTTGAGCGCAGACAGGGATGCTTATAGGCTCTAGAAAGGGGCCATGGCCTTTGGATGGGGAAGAGGTGGGCAGCCCCTTAACTCACCGCTTAGCAGACTCCCAGGATGATAGCCACCGTCCAGCAACTCTGAAATGCTGGCCTGGTTCTTACTGCTCAAACTGCCCGTTGCAACCATAGTCAATGGCTCTGTTTCCCTCGCGGGGCAGAACTGTCTTTTCCGGGGTGCTGGGAAAAAAAGAGAGAAGTTTGCAAGAAAGAAGTTTGCAAAGGAAGCACGACGTGCAAGAGCTCAGGGCTGGGTGTCTCCGGAGCGAACCAGCCCGGACACCCTTTTTCCAGAGCTAGACCAGCCTTTGTGACTCAAGTTGACAAAGCCTTGGGGGCAGAGAGGCCAACTGCAGCCATAAGCCGAAAGGAACTAAAAAGTTAGCATCCCTGGGGCGCGACTATGCTCTCGGACCCGGGCCCCATCCTGTCTCCTTCACCGACTCGCTCACCCGCCGGAATTTCACCAGGGCCGTCGCGCTCGCCCACAACGCTGAGAGGTAAACCGAGGCAGGCGCCCTTCAGTAGCCCGATCCCCGACAGTGGTCCTCCGAGCCTCGCAGCGAGCCGGCCGTGGCCACCGTACCCACCCGCGCTGGCTGCAGCCGGCCGCTCCGCCTCCAGGGCAGACGGCGCTTTATAGTCCAGCCTCCCGCCCCGGCCGACCCGCCCACCTGCGCCACCGCCCGCCGGTGCCCGGCCCGCCCCTGGCTGGTCAGGTCGTATTTCAGTCCCAGAGAGTGCAGAGGCCCAGGCCAGTTGCTGGGAGTTGGGAATCAATCAGCCTGGGGTTCCGGGACACCTGCTATTTCCTCGGTGGGCCACAGGTCACCTTGACTGTAATTCACGCAAGAGGGACCACCTCCCCTCAACCACTAACCCGGATTCTTTGATGCGACCTCCCTCCCCAAGGCGCATCAGACTGCCCAGGTCTTGCTCTGCAGCGGGAAGCCTCCGTGTCTTTTGCTTATTACGTGACCTGAGACTTTGCTGTGTCATCCTGAACTAGTTACTTGGCTTACTTAAGTCGGTGTTCTGTGAACATCTTTTATGCATGTGTTCTGGCCTCTAGCCCAGCCAGCTCCAGTTAAGTCCCAGGTTCCTATACCTTTCCCTCCCGCAGGTGGGACGTGCCAAGAGCTCGAAAGCATCAGCTGCTCTGGAATCAATCCAAAGCGTTTTCTCCATGGCCAGGGCGAGCCTGGCACTCTTCTAAGACCTGGCCTCTGAGCACAGGAGCTTGAATTGAAGGGGACCGTGCCAGGAAACTCAACAAAACCACTAGTGGGATCTCTGCTGCTCCCTTCCCCCTCGGGATTGTTGGGAGCAGTTGCCATTCCCAGAAGCTGAAGTTCCTGGCGGGCCTGTTGGGAGGAATGTAGGCTTCGGCGGTCTCCAACAGGCTTGGGGGCATGAGAATAGAGTTTTCTTCCTGCTCAGGCTAATCCCAGTGAGTCCCGAGCAAGAGCACAGGGAGAAGTTTACACACTCACAAGCAAGATGCCAAACGTTTTCTTTCCTAAATTACCAAGCCCCCCTTTCCCTGCTTCCGTGTGCCAGAAGCAGACTGTCTGTTAGGGGTGGGCATTCCCAGCCAGCTTGCAGGGGATCAGGAGATGAAGACGCCAAGATAAGGGAGAAAGTCACTTTTCTGAAGTCCTGAACTGTTCCCTGCTCTTGAGGATTACATGTGCAACCACCTGCAAGCTAGGGCCTTGAAAAGCAGGATCAGCTGTTCAGGCTCAAAACGCTTGGTAAGAAAAGCAGCAGAAGGGGTAAGGAGGGGGTGATAAACAGATCAGTGGGAGGACATTCGAAGGCAGAGCAGCAGAAACTAAAGCCAGCTTGACGGGCCATTTTTAACTCCACTGAAGCAGCTGCACCGCCTGAAGGTCAGGCGAGCAGGGGAAGGGGAGGCTGATAGGCTGCGCAGTGAAAGCAGATTTCCACATCTATTTCAATAACAAAAGCGGAAAACAAGCCCGTTTGAGACAGTTAAAAAGCGCTTTCTGTGGCTAGCCTGTGAAGGTCCAGTGGAGGAGCCCCTGGAGAGGTGTCATGCCAGCTGTCAGCAGTCTGTCCCTCACCAGGACAAGGAGCCTCTTGTCCTTATCCAGGCAGCCTTGTTTAATAACATCTGCTTCCTACCTGTTTCAAGGAAAGTTATTAGGATTAGGATGGCACATGACCCAAACCTACACTGGTGAACTAGAGAAAATGCACACCTCCCCTCCTTATGGTATTTAGGCATAATTCACACTAAGGACTCCACTGGACCAAAATTATTATGGAAAGTCGAGAAAGTAGTATTTACTCTTGGCTCACCTGACTAAAATTTTGCGTCATTCTTTGGGATTTTACTGCAGAAAACAATTTACCCATGTACAAAGTCATCAAATAATATTGTTCCTTTTATTGACTGAGCCATATTCTCAGGAGTTATAGGCATAAGGAGTAATTAAAGGAGGGCATATGCTGGAATAACAGATTGTCCTTTTAAAATTCACCTAAAGTCATTTAAAATAATCTATTCTAGCCAGCTGTGGTAACCCACACCTCTAATCGTAGTGTTCAGGAGGCAGAGACAGGTGGATCTCTCTGAGATGGAGTCCAGCCTGGTCTACATAGGGAGTTCCAGGCTAGCTGGGGGCTGTAGAGAGACACTAAAAAGGACCCTCTAGAGGATGCTGTTTCTCCTCTATCATGAAGAGAAAAAAAAAAAAAAAAAAAAAAAAAAAAAAAATTCCATTCTGCCACCAACTTTCATCATTGCACTTGAACAGTTGATTTAAGAATATCAAGTACAGAACAGAATTAAGGAAAACTAAGAACACAGTATTTTTTGTCATAAATGATGTACTTAAGTTTATAAGATGTTTTGGACATAGTTCATATATTACTGAAAGTTCACCACACTGATATATTTCAGGTATTTATCAAGTGAGGTATGCTGTCGTTTCACTACATCTCTAATACTATAGGAATATTTTGTGATGGCGCTTGAAGTAAGAGCTGTATATGAAAAGAATATCTAATTGGTTAAATAATTATCTTGTCCTTCACACCTCAGTACGCAATAGCAAGCTATCAAAATCTAGGTAAGGCCTCACTCATCTACTGAGATTCAGTAAGAAAAAGAGCAATAACAAATGGCAACTGCAGCTGATATGTGCGCAAATATTTAGGTTCTAAGCTCCCTTGTGTAAATGTAGCATTGATAATATTGCTTACATGAAGTATAAATTCAGAATACCAGATTTATTACAAAATCAAAAACCAAAAATGGCATTTTAATATATAATTGTAGGAAATTCTGGCATCCCGTACATTGATGATGTTGAGTGCCTACTATGTCTCACCAGCAATCTTTCTCATTTTATCCAGAATAAGCCATTGTTCCTGAATTTTTAGTAATTCATTTATATTCCGTGATTGCTTATATTATTTCATAAAATGTAACACCTGAGGAAAAGTAACCTGGGTTTAATCTGCACAGTGGATTTCTTAGCAAGCTCATGGGGTTGCTGTAAGGATTGAAAGAGCTACTCTTAATGCTAAAAACTGTATCTTTTGTACAAACATGAGATCTTTTGATGTTCACCACCTCCGACTTCCCTTGGTTGTGTAAATTTGTGCCCACATTGAAGTGCTTACCAATCCTAGTGTTTTAGACACTCTCCTTGTTGCTGTGACTAAATGCCCAATATGAAGCAACTTAAGAGAGGAAGGGCTTACTTTGTTTTACGGTTTGAGGGGATACAGCCCATCACGGCAGGCAAGGCATGGTGGCAGGACACAAAACAGCTGGTCACATTGTATTTGCATTCAGGAAGTAGTGAGCAGACAGGAAGTGGGGCTGGGTTATCAAACCTCAAGGCCTGGCCCCAGTGACCCACTTCCTGCAGTGAGATTCCTCCTCTTGAAGGTTCTACAGCCTTCCAAAACAGCCCATCAGTTGGGGACCAAGTGTCAAAAACACATGAGTTTATGGTGGGCATCTCAAATTAAATCTGAAATACCTGCAGTGTCCAAAGTGCTCAGTGAGTGAAGTCACCTTGATTGCTGTTCTTACTCTGAAACAATAGTTCTGTGGGTTTAGTACAAGTGTTGTCAAAACAGAAGAAAAGTTACAGTGTCTACTCTTTGTGAGAAATCTGGAAAACATTTGCCACTGATTAAGATGTCTTATTTTATTATAATAAATCTGTCACTATACAGATAGCCAGGTAAGGAGAGCTGATGATATATAAGAAAATATATAAATTAAAAAAAAAACCTGGACTTGAAAGATAGTTCAGGAAAGTCTGAAGACCTGAGTTCGATTGCTGAAACCTACATGATAGAAGGGGAGAACCTATTTCTGCAAGTGGTCCTCTGACATCCACCTGAGCACTATGGCATGAACACACACACACACACACACACACACACACACACACACACACATGCACGTGCACACACACATGTACATACACATAATGAATGTAATAAAAATGTTTTAAGGATACCATAGTAAAATATAGTTACATGTGTTAACTTTTATTAATCCAAGAAACAGTTTATGTAACTAAATGAAAGTTATAGACAATTCAAATTATTGACTGTGGAATCTCCCAGTTGTTTTGAGATCTATATTTCTCTCTGAAAACATTCTGGATGAGCTGTATTACTATCATTTAAAATTATTTTTATTGATTCAAGAATTTCATATGATGTATTTTGATCATATTCAGACACCTCCACTCCCCACTCCATTACTACCTCCCAACCCCCAACTTCATGTCCTCTGTTACAGTTGCTGGGAGAGAGAGTCAGTTTTCTTTCTTTCTATTACTGGTGTAATACCTGGTACATTGATCAGACTCCAAGGGATAGACTCACACTCAAGATCACTTGGAAAACATAGATTAGACTCTATAGGTCTTAAAAATAAAGACAAATAATATCATCATATTTATTGTTATTGAAAATGCTTCAATCAGTAAGACTTCCATTTAATGTTTAAGTATGCAATATGAGTTATTATATATCATATAGGAGTTTGCATTAAATAAGATAAGATGGAATCTTATGTAGTATAAAACAAAAAGAAAGTCTGGCATAAAATGATATGTAATACCTGCCATTAAATCTAAAAATTTATATATATGTATATATATATATGTATATATGTATATATATATGCTGAATCTTCAGTAGCAAAAGGCATTGCCATGTAAATTTAATAAGAATTGTTACCATAGTGACTTATCTCTCAGAATAGTCATATGATTTTATTCTTGTCATAAATAATGTCATGTATTATTCTCTAAATAAAAAAGTGATATGTTTAAAAGCACACGATATGTTTTCTCTTACTGTAATATGGAAAGGTTTACAATTCAGGTGCCTATTATCAGACAGTGTCAACCAGGAACACAGTGCGGGTCGCTGACATTTTTCTAGGGATATATCTTAAGACTTTTGCAAGTCTTAAACTTGATAATACCCCCATAGCATATCATTTCTCTGGTACTCTTGATAAGCATAGAAATAAGCTACAAACTCCACCAGCTGCTCTGTAACTAAGCGCAATCTCAGCTTCCCACTCTGCCCTTTGCCATACACAGAACAGCTTC